ACTAGAGAGCTAAGGGGTCACAGCTGATACTGCTGCCTTCCACCTTATGTTCCATCTTGCTCAAGTATCAGGGCTATCTTCCTATTGGCAGTTTACCAGATGAGGTCCAATCATGCCATAAAATGAATGTTTCTTTCATCTCAGCCAAGTTGATGGCACCCACTGAGGTTCAGTATCAAGTTTGTTAATTAACCTAAGCAATTCCTGATAGGCTTTGTCAAGATCTGAATTCACAATTGCTGTATCAAAGTAGTGGCCATTGTTCTGCTCCATTTCTCTGGTCTTCTCAATGATTTCTCTCAACTCCTCAGGCTGCAAACAGAAGATAAAAACTATAAGGCAATTGCTGTTTTTACCAAAATACAGGATGAATCAAAAAATGGCTAGAAGACAAGGAAAGTGACCTTACATTGTTCTCTCTCTCAAATATCCAATTCCAGGAGCTTCTTTTCAACCCCACCATGACATCAGTGGTTTCTTTTGCTCTGGCATTGTCAGGACTCACATCATAAATCATTTGGGATTCAACATATCCTATCTCATACCAGCTTATGTTTTTCAACACTTCTGTCTTATTTAACCAAGACTTGCGTTGCTTTGAATTACATTCATTTTCCAACATTTTAGGATAACAACCTCTTCCTAAGTAACATCTTCTGTAACTTGGGGTGACTTAGTTGGCTCAAGAACCCAACATGACATCTCCTCTTGACTCCTGTAAGGAGCCCCTGTCCTCTATATCTGTGGCAAAGTTAGAGTAAACACGGGCAAAAACAGGATAAACAGGAGGGGCATCTTTTTCCATGAAAACACTGATGGTCAGCCCAAGATCTGATAGCCTAATCCACATTTTTTTGAGAAAAATACTTAAGTTTAAATGTTTTAAATTGCAACTCTGTTTTCAATACACAAAAAGGATCTTTAAGATGTAAAAAAGTATGCTAACAGTTGGGGAAACTATATTGAGCAGGCTACTCTAAAATACTGGGTAAAGGAAAGGACTGTCTCAGAGAGCAGGTGGCAAGGCTGTGTGCTGCACTTGTGTGGTCAAGACATGAAACTGCCCTCGAATCACCCCTGTTGATGCAGAGAATTAAACAGAAGACCAAATGTCTCATATATAAAAAGCAACACATTAATACTATACTGGACCCATGATACTAAACAATTGATATCATTCAACTGCTTAAACTTCTGTTAACAGTAGGAAATCATACTAAAATTTTGCCAACTCTGGTAGTTTCTTGTGTTGCTCACTAATTTTCATTCTGGAATGTTGTGTATCTGGCTATGATACACAGAATCATGTGTTCTCTGCCAGAAACTCTACTTCACCATTGTAAGTGAATCCACATGACATCTTTTGCTAAAACGGATCTACTCACAGCTCAAGATTATTGGGAGAATATTTTACAACTCCACATATTACAGAATCACAACTTTGTGGCACTAGAGTTGAAAGGTAAATGCTAAGACCTAAGAACACCTAATTTTTATCAGAAATAGAGAACTATGATTTCATGTTATGCAAAAAAGACTTAATTAAATATTTTAGTACCCAATGTCAATTTTAGATTATAATCCATGACAGTCCAGTATTTTTAGCTCTAAATTTTTTAAACTAAAAATAATTAGCCTGCAGAACTGACCATCAGTTAACACTGTCAGATAACACTCAGGCTACCAAACTAGTAGAATAGTCAGAGTAGCAGTACATTTGATAACTGAGTGAGGCGTACACTGTGCATCCAGTGCATAGTATCATCGCTTTCCTAGCCAGCACAATTTCAGAGTTAAAACTGAGATCTGCTTTTACCCAACACTTCTGTCATGTGATGGATAAGGCATTAAAACTGCCAAAGGGGTTAAAAATATAAAGAGACAATGAGATATACCACCTTCTACTCAACTGTAGAGTACACATGATTATAGGTGTACATGGAACATTCACCAACAAAAATATGGCTCAAAGTTCAAAAGACTGACATGTTACAGGGTCTATTCTCTTACTACAAAGAAGTAAGAAGTCAATGTGTTTAATGAAATACCTAAACAGGCAGAAAGCAAAAAAGAAAAAAAAAAATTGACAGAGGGCTGGAGAGAGAGAGAGAAAGGGAAAGTGAGAAAGTGCCCTTCCATGGAGAGTGGTCATGCTGCCATTTCTTCTCTATTTCTCCTTTTAGGATTTTGGGCATGCACACATGCACCCAGCATTTTTCTCATGACAATGGGTCTAGGACTCAAATCATGCAGTCGGCCATGTAGGATCCAGCTGCCTTAATCAGTGTGCCATGGGTTGGCCCAAAACCCGTGTTTCTAAATAACCCATGGGTTAAAGAATAAAATATCTGTAACAAAATGATAGTGAAAAATACAATGTCATAATTTGTCTGTAGCAGGTCAAATGCAGTGGTGCAGTAGGAATGCACCGTTTTGACTCTCGGAAAATATGAGAAGGTTCTGAGTTTCTATCTGGTAGTCTCCCTGTGCACACCAGCCACCCACATGTGTACTTGGGATCCTGGATGGCTGAGGCTGGTTGGACTGCAGCATGAAGACCTGTTGGAGGTACCTGTCTATCTAATGGAAAAAATAAACACAAAAAAAGGGAAAACTTGTGGAATGCAACTACAGGCTGCTCGGAGGCAAAGATTTATCTTCAAATGCCTATATTTAAAAAGAACAAAGGTTTAAAAACCATTTAAAGTTTCATCTTCAGAAACTAGGGCAAAACAAACTCAAAATTAAGTATTGAGAGAATAAAAATAAAAGAAGTGAATTAAATAAAGATAGAGAGCAAGGGAAAAGCCATTCCCCATGGGACATTGTCCTGACCTAATCCTTTCTCCATTTCTCCAGCCTGTCAGGATTTTGGAAATCCACACACATGCACATATACCTAGCCTGTCTTTCATGCTGTCAGGACCTAGATTCAAACTGTGGTCAGCCAATGTGGGATCCAGTTCCTTTAACCATTAAGCTATGGAGTTGGACTTGTCAGGTCATTTTTAGCAAAAGTGCCAACATAATTCAATGGAGATGATCTTTTTAAAAATAAATAGTGCTAAAGCAACTGGATATCCACATGAAAGATGATAAAACCAAACTTCCACACTTACACTAAAAAATGAATTTGAGATAGATCACAGACCTAAATATAAAAGCTAAAATAGAGGGACCAGCAGGTGGTGTAATGGCTACGTCGCTGAACTCCCATGTAGTTGACTGCGGTTCGTGTCCTGGACCCAGTGGCTTAAATTTATGTTGGGTGTGTGTGCGTGTGTGCCCAAGATCCCGAGAAGAGAATGGAGAAGGGATTGTGGCATGGCCATCCCTCCTAGAGGATGATTTCTCGCTTCTGTCTCTGTTTTTCTGGTGAGCTCATGCGCCCTATAGCAAAAGCCTCTCAAAAAAATAAAAAAAAGAGTAAAATAGAAAACTTACAGAAGAAAGCAGAAGTTAAAATCTTTATAATCTGGGAGCAGCAGATGGAGTAACTCCAACAGGGATGACCATAGTTTGAATTCTGGACCTTGAGCCTTAAAAATCACACTGGGCACATGGGCACACATGCCCAAGATCCTGAGAGAATGGAGAAGGGGTTGCAGTGTGGCCATCCCACCTGGGTTATTTCTAGTTTTCTGCCTCTGTGTCTCTCTAGCAACCATATGTGCCCTATAGCAAAAAAAAAAAAAAAAAAAAAAAAACTTTCTTTTTTTTTAAATAAAAAAACCTAGGACCAGCAGGTGGCATAATGGTTACCTTGCTAGACTCCCACGTGGCCAACTGTGGTTTGAGTTCCAGACCCAGAGGCTTGAAACTCATGCTGGGTGCAAATGGAGAAGAATGAAGAAGGGATTAGGGCCATTCTCCCTGGGTGATTTCTTGCTTTCTGTCTGTCTCTCTCTGGTGAGCAGATTTTTGCCCTATAGCAAAAATCTCTCTCAAAAAAAAAAATCCTTATAATTTTGGATGCAAATTATTTTAGACATACACAAACATCATTAACCACAAGAAAAATGAAAATATAGGAGGTCCAGATAGTGGTGCAGTAGTAAATGTAATGCTCAGTGAAGCTGACGCATATGGGAAAGTTCTGAATGTGTATCCAGAGACCTCACTAAGTATGCTAGGCATCCACGTGCCCATGATCCAGGCTGGCTGAGGTGGACTGCTGTGTGAAAACCCTGTTGGGAGTACCTTTCTCTCTTTCTCTCTGATGAAACAAACAGATAAACTTAAAAAAGAGAAGATAAAAAGACTTGCAGAAAATATTTTCAATGCATCTATTTCATATGGATTTATATCCAGAATATATAAAAAAAAATTCTTCTAACAAGAAAGACTAATTGGGAAAATACAAATGAAAACCATAATGATTCATACCTATTATAATAGCTTCAACTATGTTTCAGGCTGACAACAGCACAAGTTGATAAGGATGCAAAACAACTGGAACCAGGCTACATTGGAAATGGGAGCATAAGATGGCAAACCATTTTTAAAATTGTTGGTCAGTTTTTGTGTTTATCTAAGAGAAATGGAAACATATGTCCACTGAAAGACTATATGAATGTTTAGAGTAGCTAAAACAGTTTAAAACTGGAAACAATCTGAATTTTTCAACTAGGATTCTCCAGTTGGTAAAGAATAGCCTAACAAGTAAGTGTGGGGGCCAGCAGATGACATGGTGGTGAAGGCACTGGATTCCCACATGGCTGACCGTGATTCAAGTCCTGGACCTAGTGACTTGCTTTCTCTCTTTCTGTCTTGCTCTGGAGAGTGCAGGTGTCCTAGAGCAAAACTTAAAATAATAATAAATAATTTTAAAAAAGGATGTACGTGAGAAAATAGAAACTTAGGTGGCAAAGTAGAACATGGTTCACTCTAGTCCTTAGTACTCATTCTTCTCACACAACAATGGTGTTTCTAGTCTATCAAAGTAGTTATCGGGCACTAAGTTTTATAAAGTATTAATCTTGTTTCTCTGATACTGCAATCCTCTTCAAGACTGTGGCATCTATATATATATATTAGGTCATTGGTAAAGTCATAATGTATTTTTTAAATTTTTTTAATGCAATAATGAGTCATGACTTTGCTGACAACCCAATATTTTAAACTTTATCCATTTATTTATTTTAGGAGTAAGAGAGACAGAACAAAGAGAGGGTGGGTGAGGGAGAGGTGGTTGTGACAGAGCATCTAGAACTAAAGGAAAGATGTGTTATTATGTATTTAAAAACTATCTTTAAGGATATTTTGAGGCAGGCAAATGAAATGAGGCAATCTGAGTGATCCCTCTCTAAAACAGATATATTTATGAAATAATGAACAAAACAAGAAAGAGTACTTGTTACTTTATATAATGAGTAATTTAAGAGTTTTAACTTTACAGATTGAAATAAAAAGTCGATGCCTTCTGATTAATGCATCAGCATACTGTCAGTCATGTAATTATTAATAATGTTTAGTACAACATGGAATACACTCAACAACATCCAATATAGACCTACATACTTTAAAAACACATTTGTGTTTCAGATCATGTGAGAATAAAGAAGGAAGAAACATAGGACATGAAGTTTCAATGGGGAAAATAGAAGAGAAAAAAGATCATTCAACTTTGCGTCCTTGCAAGTATGGAATATCTAAAGAGAAAAGAGAGTAATCCCTAAGAGTTTGCAGAGAACTTTGGTGGGGGGGGTCATACAATCCCTTGGAAATATCACAGACCCACATGAAGAAGACTAAAGTGTTATGGAACCTCACAGGTTACCACATGCTTGGAAATGTGTAGGG